TACAGAGGGCCTCGAGTTGATTTTGGGTGGTTGACTGAACAAGGTTGGAATTTGAGGAATGCTGAAGATTGAACTCAGCTGCCATAACCGCACTTGCGGAGTGGGGGCAGCAGGTGCGAGCCCAGAAGTGGAGAAGGGACCGTAGATACGACCAAGGCTGAGGTTGGCTGGGAGTCGCAGGTGCGAGTAGTGGAGCGCACCTACGAGATTGTAGGTGCGAGAATTGGGCCGTAGAAGTGGGTTCTGAGGGCATAAGTGAGAACCGCACTTGCGATGGATTTTCCACAGGTGCAGCGTCGCATAAGCAACTGGTGGACCGCAGATGCGGAAGTTCTGGGTAGAATGTATAAATTGTGGACTTCGCGAATTTTAGTTCATTTTCCACCATTTTTAGTCGGCATTGGATCTTTTGAGGGCGATTTTGAGGAGGAATTCAAGGGTTTATCAGTAAGGTAAGTGGCTTGAGCCCTAATACTCGTATATGTGATGATTTCTCGTTGTTTAATCATGTAATTAGTGAAGATTAGGGGTGAAAATGAGGGGTTAGGGTTTGGGATTTTGGAGAGTGTGATTTGAGGATTGAGGGACCATTTGATGTCGAATTTTGATGAGTTTAGTATGGCTAGACTCGTGAGTGAAAGGGCTTTCTAGTTTATGATTTTTGTTAGATTCCAAGACGTGGGTTCGGGGGCCGGGTTTGGGTGAATTTCGGGATTTTCGTCTAAATTGATAGTTTTTCGTGTGGAATTGGTTCCTTGGCCTATATTGATTGCATTGTATTGCTTTTGGTTAGATTCGGGACATTTGGAGGCTGATTCCAGAGGCAAGGGCGTCGCGGAGTAGGATTTGGCTAGGTTTGAGGTAAGTAACGTTTTCCAACTTGGTTCTGAGGGATCGAAACCCCGAACTATGTTTTATGTGACTAGTGTTGAGGTTACGCACATGCCAAGTGACGGGCGTGCGGGCGTGCACCGTGAGAATTGTGGCCTCGTTCATTCTATGGTGTCGTGACTTTTTCTTGTTGATATCCGTGTTCCTATTATGTGATTAAGTAAATAAGCTGTAAATCATGTTAGATATCATGTTAGGGATTCACGCCGATACTGTTGAGACTCGAGTGGTCGTTTCTATCTGTCATCTCATTAGTTTCATTGATATTTTGTGCTCAGTCTTATTCATGCATATCATATCATGTCTCAGGCTCAGTTGTTATTATTTGGCACATCATATCATTGTTCCGGGCTAGTTTTCATGGCATTGTGAGCCGTGTGTGAGACTGGAGAGTGATGAGTGAGTGAGACCGAGATCTTGATTATGAGTGACAATTATGGTATCGGGCTGCACGCCGCAGCGGTTATGTTGATGGTTATGATAGCGCTTGGGTTGTAGGAGCCCCTCCGGAGTCTGTAACACACCCCAAGTGAGCGCAGATGATATTATTGAGGGATGGATTTCCTTAGACATGGATTTGTCTGAAGTTTTGATGTTTGGAGGTGGATGTCTCCTTGGGGTTGGATTACCCTTTTTCCTCGGTACGAGTGACTTATAGTCAGGGATGAGTATATTCTGAGATGGATTTCCCTTGGCCTGATGTCCATATGCGGTGCCGAGTGGTTGAGTATGTATGTATATATACCTGGAGATGGATTTCTCTTCAAGGTTGGATTATCCTTCTTCCTCGGTACTGGATGACTTGCAATTAGTGTTGTATATGTTCCGGGATGGATTTCCCTGGGCCGATGGCCATATGCAGTACCTAGTGGTTGTGCACTTGAGAGTGGGAGCACATAGTGCATTTCATACATTATGTGCATTGGCATGTAGATTTATATGAGCTTTTATGTATCTCACATTGTTCATATCTGTATTTATTTTTACTGCATGAGCTGTATACTTGAACTGATAGCATGCCTGCATTTCCTACACAGTTTATTTCTACTACCTGTTGAGGTTACATTCGTCACTACCTATCAGTCCATAGTTTGTACTTGTTACTTACTGAGTTGGTGTACTCACGTTACCCCCTTCACCTTGTGTGCAGAACTAGGTATCTCTGGCAACGGTAGCAATTGTTGACTATTTCAGTTGCTGATTTTTATTGGAGATAGCGAGGTAGCTGCCTGGCGATCGCAGTCCTACTTTTCTCCTTCTTTATCTTCCCTTTAGTGTATTTTGGCTACTCTCAGACTATGTTGGTCTTGTTAAGAATAATGTAGTAGTTGCTCATGACTTAGTGACACCCCGATGTCGGGCTATTTATTTCCGCATTTTGTTTTCAAGTTGAACTCTTTTATGAAATTTCAGTATGAAAAAGGCTTTTATCTATCTTTTAATCAAATATCGAGTTGTTTGGGAGTGTGTCGGCTTGCCTAGTTCCATGATAAGTGCCATCACGATCGAGCCTTGTTTTGGGTCGTGACACTTCCACATTTTCTTGTTACACCCTGTGCATCCCAAGATGACGTATAATGAATATGGGACTTGTTAATCATGATTTAAATAAGTTTGAAGTCATAATATGACTATATATGATGTTTGGATATAAATATTAAGTTTGGGAAAAATTGGATTTAAGTTGCGGAAAAACTGACGAAAGATTCGCCTTGTAACAAAGCTTTTTGATCAATACATTTCGTGTGATATATGAGGTCTTCTTGGGACATATTATATACCAAATTAAAGGTGTTGGAATTTAAATTCCAACGCACATAACTGTTCATTCATACGACATCCGGATAAAAAGATATAAGTGTCAGAAGATGAGCCAATGCTAGGGTGTCAAGCTAGCACCTCTTTGACTTTTCAATAGTTGATATATATATAGGTCTTAGGTCATCTTTATAATCATTGATCCATAGAACACGACCAGAGAACACCCATAAACTTATCCTTAAGCTCTCTTCTAGGGTTTCACTGAAGATTAATATCTCGGGTACGAAATTAATAAGTGATAACATTAGAACGATCCCTACAATGTAAGTATCGCTATATCGCCTCTCTTTTTCTTTGTAGTTTGAGTTTTGGAAGGTACTTCATAGTTAAGAAAATGTCACTTTCTGTATTTAAGATTTTAAATATCAAGTAAGGTTGATAATTTTTTTTCTAATAGTTAGAACTCACGGGACGGTGATCAGAAGCTGTGAGTTCGATTTATTTCACTTTTAGTGGACTCTTTTGTAGTCCACTCATGTTGGCCTATTGTGCTGCTGATTTATGGAGTTTGGAAGGATGAAGGGCATGGAGAAACGCCACATGGGTAGGGTAATAGGCTGGTCGCTCGTCTTTGGAATTCCAGGCTAGTTGATAACTTGTTGATTGGGTGTGCTATGGTATATTTGTTTTTTGTTTGTTGTATTAAACGTCCCAAATTGTAGTTAGGTTGTTTTGAAGTTGATTGTTGTATTGTGTTGTTATATAGCCTATAGTAGGCTTGAGGGAGCAGTAAAATCAGGGGAAATTCTGCCCATTTGATTTTAGAATAGAGTTATCGTTTGGGATACGTGATATACTAGCGCCATCTAAGTTGTACATGTAATTCTTCGTTATAGGGTTGGCGTGCTAGTTGTCATAAGCTTGTTGTTGAATTGCATTGACGACTTGAGGTATGTTAAAGTTATCCCTTCTTTCCTTTTGGCATGACCCATATGATACTCGAAACAAGCAAGCACGCAACTTTCACAAATGATTCTATTCTTAGAAGTACTAGGGTTGCCTATGTTCTTGATTCCCCACATGTCCTACTATCATATCGTCTGTTCTTGGGTCTCATAACATTCCGACAGATCTTATTGACTTACTTCATTATGCATTTCATTCATTTATACATGTATATTAACTTGACCAAATGGCATTATATACGCGTATAGTATATGTATATGGGGTGTGGGGAAAGGTTACGGCGTTATATACGCACCACCACCTGATCATCTGGCATACGTTGATGATTTCGCCCATTGAGGCCGAGATGATATGATGGGTTTCCCTTAGTGGATTGATGATGTTATGTACGTATACACTTATGCATTATATGACATTTATACACATATGCATGACATTATAAATATTTCATGATTCACAGAGCTATTCAGACTTACAGATTGAGTCCTTTACCATGTTTCTTTCATGTCTTTGATATACTGATTTTTATGCCTTAAATACTCGGTACATTATTCGTACTGACACCCCTATTGCCTGGGGGCCTGCGTTTCATGCCCTCAGATGTAGGTAGACAGGCTGACGGCCCCCCTTCTTAGGATCCTTGCTCAGTGAGAGTTGGTGTGCTCCATTTGATCCGGAGCTACTATTGGCTTTTGGTTCGATACTTTTGTATACATTTATGGGTATGACGGGGCCTAGTCCCGTCCTTTATATAGTTTTACACTCTATTAGAGGTCTATAGATAGTCATGTATAGTTGGATAGTGCGTGGCCTTGTCGGCTCGCCCTACCGTATTCCGTATATATATGTATATATGTCTTTTGGGCATGTTTTCCCGCATATGTTATTCATATGAATCGGTAGTATATTTTCATACATTATGCATGACCTACACTTATTTCATGTTTATATCTTAGACGAATGCTTAGGGGTGTTCGATAGATAGAACTCGGGTACTCATCACGGCCCATCGGTTTGGGTCGTGACATTTCTTCCCTTTGAATGTGTATGATTGACAAATCTCTAAATCGTTCAAGCAGTGCATGAACCTTGTTCAAATATTGTTGCATGCACTCTTCCTTTGTGTAAAAAACACGTATACTTGGTTTACTACTAGCTGGGAATCACACTTTATATCGATGATCTCGGAGCCGAGTCCCCGAACCAGTTCAAGTTCTGCAACAAAAGCCTCATACTTGGTTTCGTTGTTAGTTATCGTAACAGTTTTAACGGCTTGCCTTAAGATTTCTCCCAAGGGCGTCACTAGAACTATCCCGAGATCGGACCCTTTTACATTGGAAGCTCCATCTGTAAAACAAGGTCCAAACTCTCGATGTTATTTTCTACACCAGCACTGCTTCCTTATCATCCAATAACATTAATCCAGGACAGAAATCATCCACAAAGTCGGCAAAAACCTTTGACTTGATCGCAGTCCAGGGTTTGTACTCAATGTCGAACTCACTAATTTTGACTGCCCATTTAGCCAAATAGCCTGGCAACTCAGGCTTGTGAAGGATATTCCTTAAGGGAAAGATTGTCAAAACAACTATCGGGTGGCACTGAAAATAAGGCCTAAGCTTTCGAGAGGCGACTACGTGAGCTAAAGCCAGCTTTTCGAGGTGTAGATGGCGAGTATCCACTCCCGACAGTATTTTACAAACATAATAAATGGAAAAGTGCATACCTCTTCCTCTATGACTAAAACGACACTTATCACTACTTCCGTGACCGCTAGATATATTAACAGCTCGCCTTTCCCCGGTTTTGATAGTAACACGCGGCTGGATAGGTAACTTTTAGGTCTTTCAATAGCTATTGGCATTCTGGAGTCCATTCAAAATCATTCTTCTTTTTTAGTAGTGAAAAGAAGTGATGGCACTTCTCTAAGGATCTAGAGATGAATCTGCTCAGAGCCACTAACCTCCTTGTCACCCTATGTACTTTGTTCACATTTGTCAATTGGTCCGGAATGTCCTTGATAGCTTTGATTTTATTGTGATTTACCTCGATCTCTCTTTACGAGACCAGGAACCCCAAGAATTTACCGGAACCAATCCCGAACGTGCATTTCTCTGGTTGAGTTTCATGTTATGTTTCCTCAGGATGTCGAAAGTCTCTTGGAGGTGTTTCAAATAATCTCCAACATTCAGACACTTGACTAACATGTCATCAATGTATACCTACATTGTTTTTCCTATCTGATTTTGAAACATTTTGTTAACGAGCCTATGGAAACTGCCTCCGACGTTCTTAAGCCCAACAAGCATCACATTATAGCAATATTTTCCAAAGTTCGTTATGAAAGAAGTTTTTTCCTGATCCTTGTCAACGCCCCCTTTTTTTTCCTCGCGGAATCAGGTTCACGACATTTGGGAAGACAACTCTTTTCCCACTTTGGGAATTGGGTTTTTTGAGAGTTTGGAGAGTCGCCACCTAATGATTATAGTGCATTAGGACACTTTTAGAAGAATTAAAGATGCAGACCAGAGTTTTGGGAAAGGGCTTGAAATTATCTCGAGGGGAAGGTGTTAGGCACCTCTCAAGATCCACTAGTGTGGTTCCCGGCCATGCTACAATTATGACTTTAGATGTAAATGTAAATAAACAAGTACAAGAAGCACAAAAGGTTAAAAGAAGTGCTGAATTTTAAAGGAGCAATTTTTGTTAAAAAACGTGCGAGTAGAGGAAAAGGTCAAGTACTTAGTGCAAATAATCCGAAAGATCATGCGAGAAGCAGAAATTGAAAATGCAATAGCTTTAAAGATTCAGAAAAATTTTGTTAAACTAATAAAGAAGGAGAAAGGGTTCCTAGGTTTATACATTACATGGATCATTCGCACAACACTGGTACTCAGTTGTACGCGGAGTGTTATCGTGTAATCATCATCTCCATGTCTACCCTTCCCACCCCGTTAAGGTATTAAAGCGTGGAACGGTATCGTTTACTTATCGCATGCTACTACCCATTCCAATCCTATTAGTCCCGGGGTATAAGGACTTCTAATCCTAAAGGGGAAGAAAGGGATGGGCGCCTTTGTGGAGTTTAAAGGATAAAATTCTAGCTCGACATTCAAAATAAGTATCAAGTAGAAGGGGAGGACAAGCAAGCATACAAGGCTCAAATTAACCCCAGAAGTCAAACAATCATTTAGTTTAGCATGCCTTGACAAATACTGATTTGGTCTTAGATTAAATTAAGCAGCGAATGGGTTGGTTCAACACATGTATTTAAACAGAGAGTCTGCATTTGGCAACTCGGATACAGTTGTTAGGGACTGACCAAATTCATTAATTAGCCAACCTTTATTTATGAGTTGAAATAAAAACCTAGGTGTAGGATCTATTAATTTCAGGAAAAAAGATGCAAAGAGTTACCAGTAGTTTTAGAAAAGATGCAAGTTGATTTTAGAAAAAGAATTATCAGTTTAAACAAAGAGAAAAGATGCAAACCGATTTTAGAAAAGAGTTACCAGTTGTTTCAGAAAAGATGTAGACTGATTAAAAGGTTTACGAGTTTCGGGGGAGTGCAGATTGGTTATAGGAAAAAGGTTTACCAATTTTAGCGGGTTTCAGAAGTAGAAAATTACCAGTTTTAGTAAAGACACTAGTTCCAGCAATCGATACTGCTTAAGAACGAATGATGCTATTAAAGACGAGGTTTCCTATAGGCATGCTTTCTATACGTTTACCAATTTTAACACCCTTTCATGACATTAATAGGAGTCTTATACACATGATGTCTATATGCAACTTTGTTATTGAGCCTATAAACGGTTTGCCTAATGACATTTGTATATGCAGAAATGCAAGAGCCTATAGACATGATCTCTATATGTGTCATTACAGAACATGAATGTTAAATCCTATAGACATGCTTTCTAGGTGATTTTGCGGTAAAGTTAAGCGTTATATCCTATAGGCATGGTCTCTATTTGATTGAATCAGTATTAAAGACCCTATAGGCCGGATTTCTAGTTTGAATAAAAATCCTAACTCATGATTTCTACCCCTTGGACGCAAGAAAAGTAAAGACCCCTCCCACACCTTTTACTATACTCCCCGAGTTTTCATAACAAAATTATTACAATCCAATGATCAAACTGGAAATTAAAAGATACATCAAAAGCTAACAGCTAGATCGAGTAGCCTAATTCAACCTTAATGTCTAATAACATGCGATTGAGCCACTTCCGGGATTCCAGATTTCCAAAGCCTTCTCTTTATCCAAGGTGTTTCAAAAAATCCAAGGAATCTCAGGATTCCAGGCATTGCTTACACCCAGGATACTATCAGAATTAGAATAGTGCAGTGTGGAAGAGCCAGCTCTCATGCATCAAGTTCAGAGGGAGCTCAGGGGTCCCAAAGCATGGCTTGCAAGAGAGGGGCGAACTTATAGCTAAGAGTAAGTGACAAAGTGAAAGGGGAATTGGGGAGCCATGACAGGTGGTGGTCATACCTAGCTACAAAGTAGGCTGGCACACCCCTGACCACTTGTTTGGTTGAACAAGTTAGGAGCAGACCTTTTGAAGGTCAGACCAAAGTCTAGATAGTGATTAGGACACTATCAGACCCCAGTCCAGGGCTCAGACACATAAAAGGGAAAAAGGGAATGGGCATTGATTGAGTTTGGGATTCAAAGAATCCAGTTCAGGATCATAGACAGCAAATTGGAGTCCTGTTATGCCCTGAACCATAACTCACATACAAAGGGTAAAGGGTAAGGGGATTCACATAGGAACAATAATCACAAAGTTGCAGAAAAACAGTAAAGGAAAGCATAACAGAACTAGGATGTGAAACACATAGTGAAGGAGCAGTATTTAAACTAAGATGGACATACCAGTTGCAAAGTAAGAGAATAGCAGAGTAACCACAGCAAGCAAGCAGCAGAAACAACTCAGGTTTTCAGCAGAACACTTGAAGATTCAAGGAGAGCTTAAAGGGTATTTCAGAAAGCAAAGAGGAGAAGTACACAGAACTGGTCTGTGTATTTGAGAGAAGAAGGGAGTAGAAAGCAGATTGCCTATTATTGCTTGATTGTTACTTACTCGTTGTTCCTGTCCTTTTGAAAAGGGGAGGGCTGAGCCCTTTATATAGTTTTGAAAACAGGTGAGGCAGGCACAAAGGTATAAACATAGAAACTAATCAAATTAGTATCAATTAGGGTAGACAGACTCCTTTAATTAAGGGTCTACTTCAGACGGCTAAGAAGGAAGAGAGAATCAGTTTATTAAGGCTAAATTAAGGTAAAGAGACCATATGGTGCACAAATAAGGTCACATACACAATTGGATATTTAAGGAAAGAGGGCACAGTAGTAAGAATAAGGTATAAGTTTAAAAATCAATCAAAGGATCTCGGCTCCAGTTGTAAATCACAAAGAGACTGAGATAATTAAGGAAGTAAATAATTCAAACGTTGGTACAAGATCACAGAAGATACAGGATCAATTATTTAAGGAAAACATCAGTAAGTTAAAAGAGGTTCAATCAAGAGAAATTAGTGATAAAATTCTTAGCCTGATTTAAAGGAATTTCGAAAATAAAACTTTGAAAGGGAAGCTTATATATAAGCATGCAGTTCAAACAAAGAAGAAAAATGAGGGTTTTTTCCATAATCATAGGCAAATAAGTTCACAAGTTCGATTACAGACTCGTCATGAGTCTGTAAACCTAGGGTTTCAGAGTGAAACCCTAGTGTCTTTCACTTCAAAGAAAAGAAAACCCCCCAAATCATAGGGTTTCACATGGAGTCGGAGGTGAGGGAATCGTTCAAAGTCACAGAGATAGGCAGATATGCACAAACAGAAGTAAGAGGAAATTACGAGTTTTAAGACGAAGGTAGGCAAGAGCATGATCAACAGAACTCAGAAACAAAATCAAAGCATGAGCTTAAACACATAAGCAAACGCGAGTCAATAACCTAGGCTAACATGTGAACAAAAGTGGTAAAAGAATCTCCGTAAAAGATCCAGTAAGAAACACAAGAGCAGGCTTGAACATAGCAAGGAATAAAACAACGAGCATGAACACACATAAAAAGAGTAAAAGAATCGGAAACATTTAGAAAACCCTAAAAATAGGATTCGAATAGTTTTGAAAAGGGAAAATTGGGGAAAAACTCTAAAATGGCACACACAGCATAGATCTAGCATAGATCTAGACGAATAAGCGAAAAAGGAACCTCGATTAGGCTAGGGTTTTTGAGAACCCAAAAGGACGAGAAGGCTTGGAAGTCTCGAGAATGGTTCTGAGCTAGCAAGGTCAAATCCAGGCCCGAGAGGATGAGATACGCCGGAGCAAATCCGGAAACGGCCAAAGAAACTCGAACCGGCCAGGGTCTGGATGAAGACCTTCGAAGTCTAGCCTCGAATCATCAATGAGCAAGCGTGTGAGAGCAGGAGATGGTGGGTAGAGGTTGTCCATGGCTAGATTAGCCATGGATTCTGGAGGTAGGTGGATATTAGGGTTTCAGAGGTTGAGAGGGTTCAAGAGAGACGAGAGGAACCAGAGGCGGCGGAT